ATGATGGCAGATGAGATTCTGCTGAAACGTTGCTACAACTTTAAAAGCACAACTATAATGACGTGGGAAAATACCCGAACAAAGCTGAAGGCCATATATATATATATATTATATTTTATATGTGGTCCAAAACAATTCCTCTTCACTCAGTGGCAGCCCAGGCTTGCTAAAAGATTGGACACTCTTGGTGTAGTTTCTGATCCCATCATCCAATTTCTCTGCTGCTCTCCTCTCTTGGTCAGCCTTGATAGCGTTGCTTGTGCGTTGATTTCCTTTGCACACCTAATCGACGCTGCTGTTGGTGCTTATACTTTAAATCTTCAACACAGATCCGTTTGGAGTGCTGTGGAATTTGATCACGTACTAGAGGAATGAAGTAATGAATGGAGGAAAGGGTCTACATCTTAAAACCTAGTTAGGAAAGAGAGAGAAACCATAGATGTACCTATTGTATGCCTAAAAATTCCTGCTTTTAAACTAAGGCACTGATGAGGACCAAAAGAATGAAAGTATTTTTGGAGGGAGGAGGGGATTATATGGTATCAGAAACCTGCTCCCTGTGAAATTTTTTGGTAGGGGGTGTTTGGTTGGTAAGAGGAATAAAATACATCAGATGACAATTATGTGCTTCAAAGTCTGTTCTCGGTTAGAAGAAGAAGATCACATGCAAAACCTTGAGGACTGTAGCCTTAAGTTACGAGCGCTGAATCAGACCAGCCAAAATGAGATTCTTGCAGTAAGACTGCACTGAAATAATGTCTGAAATGATGAACTTTGGGGGAGAAGTGTTTTTTAATAAGTTTTTTTTTAAAAAAAAAAACTTGAAATGCCCGAATTCGATTGTTTCCTCATCCAGGGTACGAACATTGCTGCAGGCAAAGCTATGGGGGTCGTGGTGGCCACGGGGGTCAACACAGAAATCGGCAAAATCCGTGATGAAATGGTGGCCACCGAGCAAGACCGGACTCCCCTGCAACAGAAGCTGGATGAGTTTGGGGAGCAGCTGTCCAAGGTCATCTCGCTGATCTGCATCGCCGTCTGGATCATCAACATTGGCCACTTCAACGACCCCGTTCACGGCGGCTCCTGGATCCGGGGCGCCATCTACTACTTCAAAATCGCCGTGGCCCTTGCAGTGGCCGCCATTCCAGAGGGCCTGCCCGCCGTCATTACCACCTGCCTGGCCTTGGGCACCCGCCGCATGGCCAAGAAGAATGCCATCGTCCGGAGCCTTCCCTCGGTGGAGACCCTGGGCTGCACCTCAGTCATCTGTTCCGACAAGACGGGCACTCTCACCACCAACCAGATGTCGGTTTGCCGGGTAAGCTGCTGCTGCTCCGGTTTCTGTGGGTTAAGAAGGAAGACTGGTAAAAATGGGGGTGAACTGTCTGCCTCGGTCTCTCTGGTCCTAAAACTGATTTCATTTTTATCAACCACTCTCGCAAAACTGTCTTTAGAGAAGCTGCCTTTATTTCAAGGTCATTCAATAAGCCAAGATACAAGTTTTAATTTAAACCAGAGACTATCGATTCCTAACATTTTTTTTTGAGCCATCCCGATGTTAAAGTGCTTTTATTTTATTTATTTATTAATTTGTTTTTATTGTAGTTTTCAAAAACACAAATCACATTTATATTCATAACAATGATTTTGCATCAATAAATACATATATCTTATATATCATATACACATGTCTATATTAATAATCTCTTAAAATCTATTTTATTTACAGTAATCCATTCTTTCTACTCTTTACGTCTATTTTTTAGCCATTCATACCATTTATCTCATACTGCATAATATTCAGAATCTTCTTTAGCTTTCATTTCCATTGTGAGTTTGTTCATTTCTGCACATTGCAATACTTTTTGTATGATTAAATCTTCTGAAGGGACATTAGCTCCTTTCCATAATTGTGCAAAAGCTATTCTGGCTGCTGTCAAAATATGCAATATAATATATTTAATCTTTTTGGGATATTGGCCTGTAATTATTCCTTAACAAAAAGAATTCTGGTTTAAATTCAATTTGATATTTGGTGATGTCTTGTAGCCACTTCTTTATTTTAACCCAATATTTCCTGGTCTCAGGGCATAACCACCACATATGATAATAAGTACCATGTTAAAAGTGCTTTTAATATGCTCCCTTCTTCCCATTAACCCAGCCAGTTCTGTTCACTTTGAGAAGATAAAAGAAGGCTGGGGGGAAAAAAAACAGGTCTTGGTTTCTCAAACCTAACGGTGGGAGGTTTATTCTCGTCCCAGGCAATTCTCTAGGGAAGACGATCAGAGCCCCTGTGAAATACTGATTAAATTGCCTTTTCCCTCCAAGGCAGTCTGGAGGGAAGGAAACTGCATTCTTGCAGGGAGCAAGGAATCCCCTCCGGACGGCCGTCCTGGGAGCCGGATGTTGAGATGACCGGGCAAGAGCCTCCAATGAGCCAACAGCCATAAAAACGTCAATAGATTTTTCTGGGTCTTTTCCACAGCCGAAGTGAATCTCCCTTCTCCCTCCTGATGGGCTGCTTACCTATGCGCCTTGCCTCCTTGGCCGCTCACAAAGAGCGCACAAAGCCGCTGCTCATCTGTATTCCAAGAGAGACGCTTTGCAGGGATCTTGCATAACCGCCAGTCTTTCAGTGGGTCGAGGCCAAACAGCGGAACGACTCCGCCACAAAGCAGCTCCCGAGCCTTTTCTTCTCCCAGAAAGCATCTTTGGCAGGGCAGAAAAATCCTTGGCTTTGCCTTAAAAAAAAAAACCCTCTCGTCCAATAATGCCTGTTCCATCAGGCAATGCAGAGAAACATTTCCTGGACATTGTGGGGCTGGTGAGGGATGGCCGAGCATGTCAAAGCTACTTTATGTGAAAATATCTCTTCGGCAAGCTTAAAAGAAGATGCTGGGAAAGGGAAAGGATTTTTCTCCATTACGGTCTGTTGTCAAACCGTAGCTAGTCCAAGAGGGTGCAATTTAAATTCTTGAGACTTACACGGCGCTGAAGGTGGATAGTAACAGCAAAATGGCCCAAATCCAAGTTGGATATTGCTTGGCGAGAGGACTTGGGGAAGGAGGGAGGGGGGGGACTAAATTAAGACCGTATCATCATTATGTTCATTTTTTACATTTTTGGATCGCCTAGACCTGTGGAAGAAGGGGGGAAAAATTAACATGTTTGCACGCTTTTCATCCAAGATGAAGAGCTTCCCTTTCTAGCTGGCTTCTGTGAATTGAGCTGAAGCATCCGCCTGACAGAACTGCCTTCCTTCTCTCGCTAGATATCAGTCTGCCGTACGTTATGGGGGGAGAGAACTTAGGGGCTGCAGAGGGCAGACAAGGGCGGGAAACTGAGACGAAGACCTTGGAGTCAAAGGTCCTGGGAATGGACCATCTAACCCATCCATCTAACCAACCACAGCATGGACAGTTACCAAAATATCTTCTCTGAATGTGACTGGATAATGGGGTGATAACAGGGTGGGTGGGACAGGGAAGGAGAAGCTAACTAGGGGAAGGAAGAATCAAACTCTTCGCGTACTGTAACTACTTGGCTTTAGTAAGAGTAGCCTTTTGGCCACAAATGGAGCCGAGGGTCTTTCTTTCTGAACGGATCAGGTTGTGCCAGGTCTGACATCTTCTGATGATTGATGTGAGACCCTCCTTTTGAATGGTAGGAGCACAAGAGGCTCAACCAACAGCTTGAGAAAAAGGCTTCATGTATTGCTCTAGTCAGGTGAGAAGGAAGGAAATAGGGCAAGGTGTAATTTCAAGGGACAACCGGAGGAGCTTATAGGTGACCTATATTTTCAAAAGTGCAGCTTGATCTTATTTTAAAGTAAAACATGCTTAGTTCCTAAGTGCAAGCAGGCTGATCAAACTTTGCGTCTTTAATGTGACAATGTTCTAGATGGCCTCAGCTAGTTGAGCTTAATCACACCCTTGTCTCTCTGGCAGATGTTCGTTGTGGACCGTGCGGAAGGGGATAGCTGCTGTCTGAATGAATTCACCGTGTCTGGGTCAACGTACGCTCCCGTCGGAGACATGTGAGAACTTTCATCCTTTCTGTTGGCCAGCTTGTCCATCTCCTGGGCCTCTGGGTGTGCGGTGTGGCCAAGCCTAGAATTATTGGGCCCAAAAGGCAAATAGATGCTATAAAGGGGGATTGGTGTCAACCTGTAGATTTAAACCCTCTCAATCTGTAGATTGAAAAGTGATCATTTTCCTTTGGGGAAGCAGGAAACCTGCACATGGTTTGAGACATGTTATTAATACTTGCTGTCTGTCTCTTGTCTGGGGAGAATATGATAATTCTCTACTGTACCCTTTTATTTATACATTTATTTTGAAAATATAATCCAAAAGGGTCTTTCAGAGTTAGCTTTCTGTTCTAGAAGTGTCGGGCCCACACATGAACATTCAGTTAAATGGATTTATTGCTAAAAGCCTATGTACTGGAATCTTCTTGACTAACAGTCCTTTTGATGGCATTCATCCAATTTTGTAAAATTTCCAGCTCTTAAAAGCAATTTTCATCAATTTGCTACCCTCTTATGATTTTATTTATTTTATTTTATTTTATTTTAATATTATATTATATTATTATTATTATATTATATATATTATATATATTATATTATATTATATTATATTATATTATATTATATTATATTA